GGGTAGGTCACCCCCTTTCTCCCTCTCTGTCTCTGTCCCTGTCCCTCTCATTCTCTGTCTCTGTCTCTCTCTGTCTCTCTCTTTCTCTATTTGGTTGTATCACTTGAATATGGGAAGGAAACAAATAAAAGATGACGGAAAAGGTTCGTAAATGTCCTCATGTTATTTTTGCTAGCATGGCTACATCCCGTTTTAATTACACTGCTGACTTTGCGTATACTTTTCGACAGCCAGTCACAGCCCGTTTTCGTGTGATTTAAAAAAAAAAAATCCGGTTACATTGTCGTCTTTCGGCTTTAGAGTCAACCCAGCTCTTTGCAAAGCAATAAAGTGGGACAGAAATCAAAATATTATTGGAACTCGTCATGACCTGTAAATAAAATAGAAAGTTTGTGGCTCACCTAATTAAAAATAATTTGAAGAGCACCATTTAAAATCACCAACAATACAACTGTACATTCTTGTAATTTAGTCTGTGCGGGCAAGACGTAAAACTTTTAATAGATATGTCTGGTTTGGTTGCTATTTTTCGATTATGTAATACCCATCATCTATTCTGTTTTGTTTATGTTTTACTTGCTTTAGGCACATAATATTTTGACGAGCCTACTCCAAACTGTGTAAGATTTATTTTAGAATTAGTACTTTTACCTAGTATTATGCACCTGATTTATTGCCATTTGTCTTAGGTTCGGCCTCAACCCCCGCTAAGTATCCATTACGGCGACGATGAAGTTGGTGTCTCTGATTTTGTGAATTGTCAACCTTCAGGGAAAACGTTTGAGAAGCCAGCAACAATGGTCATCCCTCACTGTGCATTGTTAACGGACCCCTCAAAGGCCAAGGTCACCATGCACTTCACTGATGGCGAGACAAAAGGTCAGTAAGAGTAAAAATGAGAACAATGAGAATTAAGTGTGAAGAGGTGTGGACAAAGTGCAACACAGCGTGGTAACGTTGTGAACACAATACAAACGTATGTGTCAGTGGGAGGGACAAATTGTAATACTGTACCTAAAAGGGAAAGAGAGAGAATGAGATAAGGAGAGGGGACTGGGAATAAGAAACACTCTCCGGAAAAAGTAATTCATTATATAATGTGGATGCATTACTAGTAATTACCCATTGTGAAGAGAGTGAAAACAACGTTTAAAAACAATAAGAAACAGAGTAGAGACACTGGGAGTCGGAACAGGGATAATAATAAAACAGGGCGTATACAGTCACTGAAATCACAGTATGAATACAATAAGAACATTATTATCTAGACAATGATAACACACTGTCATTGCTTGTGATACATACTGTAAACACATTTGCAAGCGTAGCTGTGATACACTGCAACATGATATGAACAGAATTTAGCAGTGAACCCACATTGTTGAAGCTGTTCCATTTGATTATTTTTTTAATGCAGATTTAATGATGGTGGCCGTTTTGTTTCGTACGTAGGCTTATGCTTCTCTTCTCTAATTCCTCTCTTTCTTTTTCCGTTTACATATTCCGCGCCTTTGCAGTCACAAAGCAAGAACTGTCATCAACTGGATCACCTAGTTGCGTAATAACAAAAGATCACTTCGAATTGTCCATTAGCCATTTCTCATTTTGGGGAGTGTTCTTGATCATAAATGAGTACTTCATCGGGAAACGCCTCGCTTCTACGCCCTACCTTCCAAAATTAATGAGTCGCCTCCAACCGCAATACTGCCATCTACGTCTGTATAATGACATTCCTGGTCTCGAAGATGTGAGTAATTTTGCAACATTTCGAATATTGTGAAAAGTATGAATTCAGGACAAAACATGAACAACAAAGGCAGTTTTTGTGATTCTTATTAAGTAGGGATAGTTGTAAAAAATGCTTGCTTTATGATTACTATATTGTTTTACTTAAATCATGTTTTGTCCACTTCATGTTGCTTTATACTCCCTTTTCCTTTTTTGCTCATAACTTATTATTATTATCATCAGGAATAGGTCACTCGCAGGTTAATTGGGGCATTTAAATTCAAATTGAAGCAATCAATTTGCCTTATCGGCAATGTTATTTATGTTTAAGTAATCAATTTTCTACTACCTGCATTTAATTTACTGTAATATTGAGAGGGATTCCAGATAAGAGGGAATTATGATTTCTCTTTTTTTCGCTTTTCGTCTCTCTTATCTACGTCTCTTCCTCCCCCACTCTTCCCCTCTCTCGCTCCATCTCTCCCAAGTTATCCTCTCCCTTCTCTCTCTCTCTCTCTCTCACTCTCTACATGTCTCACTCCAATCTCTCTCCCCCAACTTTCCTCCCCCTTTCTCTTTTACTAGTCCCCAAGTTGTGTTTCCATACATGTACTGGACCCCTTTTACATGGGCCTAATAAGATATGATAAACTGAATACCATTTACAAATGAGTCTAACAAGCAAAGATACACTTTGCTGATGAAATCACACAACATTAAACCCGGATAACTTCCCTACAAGAACAAATATACTTTGCTCACTTTAATATCAGCATACACAATTTCACAATACTCACACATATGTAAATCAGTGTCCACCACAAAATAAACGAAGCGTTTAAAATGTTCCTATCTTAGACATATATTGACATGTGCATACACTTTAAACATGGTACGAAAAGTGTAATATTTGTACACTCTTTGATGGGTTAAGAGGCGAAAAGTAACCGAGTCTCGGTTTTGATCCAGCGATATGACCTCTACAACAAAAACAAATGACCACAGTTCTTAAACAGTTTTTGCATTTTGGATATGCACTGTTCACAGCTTTGTGATATGTGTGTGTCACGCGTAATATGCAAGTTATGTTTATTCATGTGTTTAACTTTTTGTTATAACAATGAAAAAATCAAACTTTTCGGTATATATCCGATAAGGCCTACGGTTAAAGGAATCGTAGAGTTTTTGGTTAAGATGCCGCTACCTTTTTTGAGTGATATAATGCGAAAAAAAAATAAGTTTCAAATTCGAAAGAGAATACAATTTAAATGAAACAAATCTTTGTTTGATCGAAATCGGTTCATCAACGGCTAAAATATACATTACAATAACCATTTTGATATTCTTGGGGCCCGTTCTAGGACACCTACTCCCTGGATGGACATCCAGGATAACCACCCCAAGTCAACTACCTACGACATCTACCCCCTAGGACATCTACCCACTAGGACAACTACCTCCTGGACAACTAACCCAGACAACTACCCCCTACGACAACTACCCCCTGGACAACTAACCCAGTAAACTACCCCCTAGGACAACTACTCTCTAGGAAAAAACACCCGGACAACTACCCGCGGAAAATGACCCCCAGACAACTACCTCCTACGACAACAATCTTCTAGGACAGACAACTATCCCCAGTAAACAACCCCCTGGCAACTACCCCTAGGGCAGGCAGCCACTTAAAACGAATTTGTTTAATACAATTATGGAAATGCAAGCACTACTTCTGTTGGGTCGGGGCAATCTACTCATATTGGCCCTTCCACAACTCAGAATTATTTCGATAAATAAAGAACAATCAAGATGATTTGGTTACCTTTGATCCGTTTATTGCTCTCAACTCGAGCCACATCTTGGAATTAGCATATCAATCACCATCTCATTTGCATATTCGTAACATATCTCCCCCCATAAAAGAAAGTTCCTATCAGTAGTTAGAACTTTCTTCTGAAAAATAGTAAGATCTAAAGGCGAGAAATTAACCACACAAAAGGTATATAACAAGCTTGCATGAACATCATTTTTCTAATATCGAAGACAGACCGATTAGTCCTTTCATTTCAACATAAAAAAACAAAACACAACCTGCAGAAAAATGAAAACAACTTCGATAGATAACATTATACATGTATGTTCTCTTCCTGAATCCTGGAAGTAAGTACCAGGACATTAATCAGACACAATGTCTGTGTTTTGTAAAGAACCACAAACTGTGGTGGTCGAAACACGTCTCTACACATCATACATAATGAATATATGAATACATGAATATATGTGCGTAATAAGCACGCGCGATAAATGAAACACTGAATATTCAGCACAGGCGCCGATATCCTAAATGCGCACAACTACAAGAACAGGTGATTGCATATTCATATAATGAACGCGCACAACCTAGTCACATGACGCGTTGCTATGACGACACCTCATTACTATGTCGGAATGCATGCAGAGTCTCATTAAATATGTCGGTCAACAAAAGCAATATGTTATAATGATCCGCATAACTGTGCACAGCTCGATTTGAAATATTTCTGACATTAAATGTAAGAATAAGGGTACATACATGTACATATTTTGTGTACATATTACAGGAGTAACATAATCTGTTGAGTTCCTGCTGCAAGCTATAAATTGAAACTTGTTTAAATACAAAACAAATAAGCAAGACTTATCAAGTTAAATCACAAACACATACATATGCAATACTGGCAGTCAATAATCTTTGAAATCTATGAAACAACATTACGCAAGTTGTGATGCTACACTGTTGTTATGTTTTCAATTGGTTTTACACCTGTAATTGTTGATGTTGTTATGAAATGGTAAATGCATTAAGCTTTGCCTTGCATAGCTAACAATGCTGGGTATTATTATTAACAATAACTATTCCCTTTTTATCAAAAGAAAACTATTCTAATAATAAACAAACAGAATCGAGAAAAGACATGAAATCATTATACATGTAGGCACAGGTAAGGAAACAATGACATACATGTATGGTGCACATTCTCCACAGAATATGCCGTAGTCCACTGTCCATACTGGCAATTCCCTGTTAAAAGGTGAAATGTTCATACATGATCATTCATATCACAGTTATCACAGTTCAAAATTATTGAATTATCTGATCCATCAGTTCACAGGGTTAAAAGACATGTACAGATACAAAGCAATAAATCGTGTGTAGCTTCCTTATGACAAATAAAAACAAAATATTAAAGTTCTAGTTTCTTCACAATTTGTCAAATGTTTAGTAGGCTTGTTTAAGCTCTAGAAAGCGTGTCTGCAATTATGTTGTCCTTTCCTTTGATATGAGTCACTTTCAGTCCATAAGGCTGGAGAAACAAACTCCAACGAAACAGTCTCTGGTTTTTGTTTCTGAAGCGCTCAAGAAAAGTTAATGGATTATGATCTGTGAATACAGTCACCTCTGAAGAGTTGCTAATGTACACGTCGAAGTGCTGAACTGCCAAGACGAGACCAAGACACTCCTTCTCTATAGTAGAATATCTTCGCTGGTGGGGGTTGAGCTTCTTAGAAAAGTAGCTAATGGGTTTCAGGAGACCCATGTCATCCATCTGTAGGAGAACAGCACCAACTCCTACATCACTGGCGTCAGTGGCAAGCTGAAAAGGCTTCTGGAAATTGGGAGCATCCAGCACTGGTTTTGACATTAGCACTGCCTTTAACTTCTGAAATGCTATCTCACATGAGCTTGACCACTCAAACTTAATTCCCTTCTTGAGAAGGTCAGTGAGGGGTGCAACAAGGTCACTGAAGTTTGGAACAAACTTGCGGTAAAACCCGCACATCCCAAGAAATCTCATCACTTCCTTCTTGGATGAAGGGGCAGGAAATTCCACGATAGCTTGGACCTTTGCTTGCCGTGGGACAACATGTCCCCGTCCAACCTCATGACCCAAGTATGTGACGGTGGCTTTAGCAAATTCACACTTGGCCAAGTTCACAACAAGACCAGCCTTGGTCAGTCTGTCAAACAAGTCTCTCAGGTAAGCTAGGTGATCTGACCATGTGTCACTGAAAACCAGGATATCATCAATATACACCACTACATTGTCAAGTCCCGCAATGACATCAGTCATAAGCCGCTGAAATGTTGCCGGGGCATTTCTCATGCCAAAGGGCATAACTCTACACTGAAATAACCCTTGGGGAGTCACAAAAGCAGAAACCTCCTTCGCCCTTCTTGAAAGGGGTACTTGCCAGTACCCTTTCATGAGATCAAGCTTTGTGATGAACTTCGCACTACCTACTTGGTCTATGCAATCCTCAATACGGGGTAGGGGAAACGAGTCAGGCTTAGTCACAGCATTAACTTTCCTATAATCAATGCAAAAGCGCTGACTTCCATCAGGCTTGGGAACAAGGACTACAGGTGAACTCCAGCAGCTCTGACTTGGCTCAACGATACCACAGTCTAGCATATACTGAAGCTCCGTCTGCACCTGATTTTTCTTCCTAGGATTCAATCTATAAGGATGCTGTTTGATGGGCAAACTATCTCCTACATCTACATCATGTACCGTTCGCAGAGTACAACCTAACTTATCTGTACACACTGCAGGGTACTCACACAGAATCTCTATCACATCATGCTGTTCCTGCTCAGACAAATGACCCAATACCTCAGCAGGATTTGCCATCACCTGGGAATTGTTCACCTTACCAGACATCCCAGATCCAATATCTGCTTCCTCTGTGAATTCAAGCATATCTGGATCACTGTTAACTGTTTCTTCACACACAACAGCAACTGGCACTCTATCCTCACGGTCATAATATTTCTTCAGCATGTTAATGTGACAAACTCTCTTAGTCTTCCTCCTATCTGGAGTGCTCACAAGATATGTCTCCTTACCCAACTTTCTCTCCACCATGTACGGTCCACTAAATTTAGCTCTGAGTGGTTCACCTGGGATTGGTAACAACACTAGAACTTTGTCACCATGCTCAAAGGAGCGAGATTCTGCCTTTTTATCAGCACGAGCCTTCATCACAACCTGAGATGACTTCAAATGTTGTCCTGCCAACTCACACGCCCTCGATAGTCTTTCACGGAATTGTGATACATAGTCCAACACATTCTCATTTTCCTCCTTCATCTCAGACAAGAGTTGCTCTTTCACTACCTTCAATGGTCCTCTTGGTTCATGACCAAACACCAGTTCAAAGGGGGTGAACCCTGTGGAGTCATTAGGAGTATCTCTGGAGGCAAACAACAAAAATGGGATACCCTTGTCCCAATCTCCACTATTCTCCAAACAGTAAGACTTGATCATTGTCTTCAAGGTTTGGTGGTACCTCTCAAGGGCACCCTGTGACTGCGGGTGGTAAGCAGATGAGTTAATCTGCTTGATTCCAAGTTGATACATCACTTCTTGAAATACATTTGATGTGAAATTTGAGCCCTGATCTGACTGGATCTCATGTGGGAGACCATAACGTGTGAAAAACATCAGGAGGGCATCAATCACTGTCTTGGCCTTGATATTTCTCAATGGGAATGCTTCAGGAAAGCGAGTCGTTGTATCCATGATAGTCAACAAGTACTGAGAACCAGTCCTAGTCTTGGGTAGAGGGCCCACACAATCTATCAGAACACGACTGAATGGTTCCTGACTAACAGGAATGGGAATAAGTGGTGCTGGCTTGATTCGATGTTGAGGCTTCCCCACCACTTGACAGGCATGACAAGATCTACAATACTCAGATACATCTTTGCGGAGTCCCGGCCAGTGAAAATGAGCCTCAATTCTGGCAACAGTCTTCCTCACACCAAGATGTCCTGCCACTGGAATATCATGAGACAACCTTAAAATCTCCTGCCTATACTCCGGGGGAACTACAATCTGATTTACCACTGCCCAGTCTTCATCTGCTGGACGCCCAGCTGGACACCACTTTCGCATTAACACATCACATTTTGTGAAGTAGCACTGTGACACCTTTTCAGCTTCTCCTGCTGGTAGAGCAACATCAAACAACTTCTTCAAGTCCTCTGCTGCTTTCTGAGCCTCAATCAACGCAGGTTGACTGAAGATAGGCTTATCATGAATCTGGTCATCTTGGCCCTCATTCAACATTCTGAAAAAAGTGTCACCCAAATTGACTTCACCATCATTGTCATCTTTTTCTTTCTCTTTCATAGCCTGGGCTCTAGTAACTACACATGAAGGAAAAATACCAGGAATTTCATTTTCCAATTCCTCTGTCTCTGAACTCATCTCAGGAATGTCACACACAACGGGTGATGGGAACACCTTACCTCCGGCTAAATCATTGCCGAGCAACATTGAAATTCCTCTCATAGGCAACTTAGTAACAATGCCAACAGTCACTGGTCCAGATACTAATCCACTGCTAAGCTCGATGTTATATAATGGAACCGGTTTGAAGCCATCATTCACATCTTGAATCAAAACTTTCTTGCCTGTGAAATTCTCTGTGTCCAAGGAGGACGCATCAGCAATAAGCAGAGTCTTCATAGAACCACTATCCCTTAAAATCGTGATAGGCAACTCCTTATCATCAACACTGAACCTAACCGTGCCATAAGAAACAAAATCTAGAAATCCTTCATCAATCTCCTCATCATGTCCACCATCTTTTACTTGATCACTTCTTTTTGTTTCATTGTGATCATTCATTTCATGTTGTTGCATGTCAACCGCTGCAGGGCGTACAAAACCACTAGGCTGAGTAATTTCTTGTTCAAGTTTTTTGTCTTTAAGTCTTGTACATTGAGTCTTAAGGTGGCCCTCTTTCTTACAGTATGCACAGAAAAGTCTGCCTTCAGTTCTAACACCGCTATCCTGATTAGGACCTGTATTACTGGACTTCCTCTTAGCAGTAGGTGACCTAGATTTGTCGCCATTCCAACTAGAACTACTAGGAGCATGGGTAGGGTTCCAACGCCTAGTAAGTGGTGACCTACTCCCTTTATGAGTCAATTCGTACCCATCTGCCAACATGGCAGCCTTTCGCACATCAGCAACTACATTATCATTGACATATGTCCTAACCTCTTGAGACAGACATCTTTTAAACTCATCAATGAGCATAATCTCTCGAAGAGAATCATATGTGGCATCTATTTTCAAAGATCTGATCCACTGATCGAAGGCAACCTCTTTTCTACGAGCAAATTCTACACAGGTCTCTCCAGTTTCTCTCCTGAGATTGCGAAACCTCTGACGGTAGGCTTCTGGAATCAACTCAAATGAATGAAGAATAGCATCCTTCATTGTCCAATAATCAAACGCCTGCTCATAACTCAGTGCAGAAACAACCGACTGAGCTTTACCAGAAATCACTTGTTGGATGAGCAATGCCCATTCATTTTCCGGCCACTCCATTTTCATGGCAACCCTCTCAAACATAAGAAAGAATGAATCTAACTCATTTTCATCATATCTCGGAACAAGCTTAACCCTAGCAGAGAACCCAGCTTCCATTGACCTCTTGTCTCTCTCACCAGACTGACTGCTCTGAGAAATCACGTCATTATGGCGTATCATTTCAAATTCCAACCTCTTTCGTTCCATTTCTCTCTCATGCTCAGCAGCCTTTAGTTTATCTCGTTCCATTTCTCTCTCATGCTCAGCAGCCTTTATTCTATCTCTTCTCTCCTCTAGCTCAATCTTAGCTAAATCAAGGCCAACCTCGTCACTGGTAGCTTGATCTTGGTTATTAGTACCACCATTATCATTAGTTGTAGGCGCGTCTGCTCGGGCCGCGACCGTCGCAGCGCTCAGTCCTGCATGGGCTGTAATTGCATCAACTATTTCTGCCTTGCTTTTGTGACCAGTTAGATTTACCAATAGCTTTGTTCCTACAGCTGTTAAATCAACCTTTCGTAGCTGACGTAACCGGCCAATGGTCAATGCCTGACTCAAATACTTTTCAACATCAAAGTCATCCATTGTATAAATCTAGTCTGTGTAAGTAATACAAGTCTCACAAGTAGGTCAATTGTCCTGACGACTAGACTGGAAGGAAAATCCAACAAAACAAAATGTTGAATGTGAGCCAACACAGAGTATATTCCAACAACAGATCAAACAACGACAATTGATCAACAGACCAAGCAAAACAAAATTGATCAAGCATCAATCTATCATCAATTCTGTGAAATTGCCACAGCTACACAACACAAGCCAAATTTTGTTAGACTTCATCAACTCACACACATACATAGGTCTAGATCTAGAATCTATTATGTAACACATGGAAATAATTTCCAGAAAGTCCAGTACACACAGTCCCACACTACATCAGATGTGTAGAAAACTAGCTTGCATGCAAACAACTAATCTAGGCCATTACCCTAGAAGTAGAAACAAAGCCGAGGCAAAGTTAAAGTCAAATCCGACGAAACTTCTTCAACGACTACCATGCAATTTACAGCCAACATGCAACAGGCAAAATCGGGACCAGAATACCAGACAACCGCAGCAGATGTGCAGTGAATTTCATACTAATGAGACAGCTACATCTAAGGGGCATGTACCCCAGACAAAACTCGAGCTATCATGCAGTACAAAACAAAATCAAACTGTGTAGGCCTAGCAATGGGCGCTACACTACCATGACTACAGTACAGAAAACTAGTCCACAGTCATTAAATGTGTGCGCGAACCACACCAAAACCCATTAATGGGACAAGAGGCGAACTCCAAACGATACGCATTTCGGATCGGAAAAGCAACAAAACAGCAAATGTTACTATATCTAGCTCTTAAGACAAGCCCCCAATCTGTTGGGTCGGGGCAATCTACTCATATTGGCCCTTCCACAACTCAGAATTATTTCGATAAATAAAGAACAATCAAGATGATTTGGTTACCTTTGATCCGTTTATTGCTCTCAACTCGAGCCACATCTTGGAATTAGCATATCAATCACCATCTCATTTGCATATTCGTAACACTTCAAACAAACATAACTTTGTTATTCCTTGCTCATTTTTCCTGATTGAGATGTCTTACGAAAGGGCAGAGACTCAACTCTCTAGAAATAGGATTTTCTCTTTGAAATTCAGATACCGTCCGCCAAAAGACTTTGGGGTTTCCTCTCTTGAAATTCATTTTAATCACTCATGCATGACATATGACTTGCATGAAATGAAAGAGGAGGATCTAAGCTTTACACATATGTGTCATTTATTAATTATAATTGTGACTAAGTTATGATAAAACATCGATAATTTTCGGTTTTGTTTTTTCTGGGACGCACTGTATATAACAATCCTGTTACATGGTACTTCGAACTAATTAATCAAGCCTCTCCGTATTTGAAGGCCAAGTCCACTCCAAAAATAACGTACCTTCAATAGAAGCAGAATAATCAGACAAACCAATCAAAACAGTTTGAGCAAAATCGGATTTCTAATAACAAAGTTATTAATTTTTGAAAAAGTCCGTAAAACTATGGAACAATGACAATCAAAAGACAAATTGGAAATTCACTAATGAGTCTGTGACGTCATTTCCTCACAATCCACTTATTGTTTGTTTATATTGATAATATAATGTTACCTCCCCCCCCCCCCCTAAGAATCTTATTTCTTCACACCAGATTGATTGATAGTAATATGTTTTGTGTATGGATCACTTATATAAAGTAAATTTTCAGTTAAATCTTGAAAAATGTGATTGTTGATAAACTATTAAGATAAAAATCATTAATTATGAATATACAATATCCAGAAAATAGTATCAATTCTTCAAAGTTTATAAAAAATGTTTTTGCAATGTCATGCACGCAATATGATACAAATCATAAAACCTGGGCAAAGGCATAGGGAAATCAATTTTGGGGGATGAAAAGAGAAATTAATGGGATTAAACTTTATAAAACAATTAATAAATAGTGAGGACATAACGTCACAAACTGATAACCAAATTGACAATTTGTGTAGTGATTTCCACTGTTCTATAGTTTTACATACTTTTTTTCAAAAAATCATAAATTTCTTATTAGTTATCCGATTTTGCTCAAACTTTTTTTGATTGGTTTGTCTGATTTTCTTGCTTCTGTTGAAAATAAGTCATTTTGGGAGTGGACTTGTACTTTAAAGAGCAAGTCCACTTCACTGAAAAGTTGAGCTGATTATATATAATCCCAAATATAACTTGGTTTTGTAAATTGGTGCTCGGACTTATTTCTGATAATTTTTGTTAATGAGCAAACAATAATCGTGCCGGCTCTCCCCATCAATGCATTGCGAGACATTTTTTTTGTGACGTAGGGTACTCACACGGTTCTTGACACATTCGCGACTCATCTACTAATATAAACCGTTTCTGTACCGCATGCGCATTCGAACGTGTCCTCACATGCCACTCTGTTTTTGGCGAATTTGTACGTTCGTATGTCTAACTTGTCAGTTTCAATACTAAGCCCTTGGGAGCATCTCTCGCTGTATTTTAAAGGGTTTGGAATGGTAAAGAAACGTTTCTTACTACCATCAGGAGGATTTAAACTACCGTAATCATTTATCCCAGTTTAGCTGTATGATAGCTGCCATCGGGATTATCTCTACAAGTAACAAGATTTGTTAGTATGATTACCGCTTTCGTTGTGAGGAGCATACGTCACCTCACGTGATCAACAATCTAACATCCTAGGGGCAAATTTTTTAATATTTTTTTGCTCGAAATAACAGAACAAAAATAGTTAAGAAAAATAACCTGGTTGAAGTGCGCCCGTGACTTTTTTGCAGTTGAAACCTTTGATTAACTAACAACATGCTATTATTTTTGAAAATTTGAGTGCACTTGATCTTCAAGCGTTGAGAGACGGTATTCCAAATTAAGCGCTTTATAAATCCTGATTTATCAATATTATCTTTAAGAAGCTTTACATGGACGAATAATTTGTTTTGGTACATGGATGTGTCAACCGCATTTTTTCTTTCTCTATTAATCCCTCCGACCAGCAGGCAAAGGGTTGTGTAAAAATAGAAATAAAACAGGGTAGCCAGTCACATTCATCGTCAGTAGCCAGGATGCAAAAACAAAAAATAATTACAATCCGTTTCTGAGACAGACGCTAATGAACGTTGTGCCATTGTCCCTGGCCTGATGTATTAATATTAACTTCAAGAAGCTCTACATTGGCAATTTTTCTTTTTTTACATGAATGTCTCAGCCAACTGTTTCCATTTCTCTCTTGTGTACACATACATATTGTGTACACATACATATATATGTATATATATGTATATCTTTATATTTATTTAACTAATGAATTATTTTTACATTTAACAAGAGTGAAAACAGAAAAAAAAGATGTCTATGTTTTTCAAATTCAAATACATTATGTGAACAATTTCTTTGTTCAGATTTATATTTCTTGAGACAGTGAAATACTATGCTTACGTCCAAGCGGTAGCACTGAAGTCCTTCATTCAATCATGTGATCTTCCTTTCTTGAATTAAAATCTTGACAAAAGTATCAAATTTACAAGGGGTATGAATAATATTGATGTATTATCTCCAAAATAAGGCGAAACTATTTTTTAGAAATGCAGGATACATTGATGTAATATATGTTAGACATGCAAAAAGATTCACGGCTTTCTCCCTTTTTTCCACTTTCTCTTTCTTATAATTTATAATTTCTGTTCATAATTAGGTCATCGAAATCGAGGAAGAAAGGCTTGACTATCGCAAGATGGCTCCAACAAAGAAAATATTCGTGTACTGGGCGAAGGGCGAACTGAAGATCGAATGCGAGGTAGATGGAGGTCATATCCTCGAGAACGAAATGGTACATAAACACGTTTTACATTGGCTACTAGTAATTACTGAACACATAGTTTAGAATTATTCTTTAATGTGCATTTGTTCTTCATTCATCTTCCCAAATGTTGATGTCATACTAATGCATGCGAATGTGCCATTTCCGAAGAGATGTCATGTCATAAAAACAAATCTTAGCCTTCGTCGTTGCCAAACGACAGAATCGGGCACATGCGAAATAAACACATAAATTGGTTTACTCTTATTTTTTTTTATTTTACTTTTAGTTCAACGCGATCTCAACAAAAATGTAACGCAATGTCATTTTAATTTTAAAAATTACATAGAACGAAAGTAGTCCGAACACGATTTATACATGTAATGCAATAAGCTATTCAAAGTACTTTTTGGTTGATTTCTTGGACGTCTTTCCATCGTGTGTTATCCATATTTTGCTTTTTGTGTTTTCATTTCAAAGATGAAGATCGTATCGCTAGATGAAATCTATAGATTGGATCGAAACACTTTAAGTTTCTTAGTTGAAGCGAACGGCCAAGCCGATGTACGTTTGAAGTTCAGCTTCCATCCCCATAGCCACGAAAGACAGGCATTTCTTGTGAAATTCTCTGGTACGTACCCGGGTCTCGTTGCACAAAATTCATCATTAATGGTAATTTGTTTTCATTAATATTAACTTCCAGACAATATGTTGATTTGATGGACTCTCGTGTTTGTACTTAATATCGATATCAACGTTACCATCAATAGTATTTTTTTATGCGATGGAGCCATTTTATGGGCGTGCATGCGATTTCGTGTATGATTTTGTTTCTTCTGTTTCCTCTTTCTTTCTAATCTTAATATTATTAATCCATTTGAACAATTCTTTGATATGCCTTTGTTAACTTTAGGCGTATGATTTTTTTTAATAGTATTTTGTTTTTGATTCGAAACAATACAAATCGATCTTTGAAATAAAATGCAGTTGTTTTTTCTTGACATGAATTCACAACATTTTCATACATATATTGTACAATTTATAAAAGAAAAAATGAAATCAGTTGGACATTTAAACATAGGTGACCACTTACCGAAATGTTCTTGGATTTTACCTGAACGCACACACACACTCGCACACGCGTGCTCTCCCTCTCCTTTTCTCTCTCTCTCTCTCTCTC